GTTTGATTTTTGTTCTTTTATCATTTAGCAGTATCACGTTGAGTGATAAAACTTCGAGGATCATGATATGTAACCGCGATTTACATCATCAACAAATTTCATGACAAAAATTTATCTACTAGTAAAAATTGACTGATATACAAAAAATATTATTAGACGTGTAAAATGTTAATTAACGACGTTCAAACGGTGTACGGTTAAATTCATTCACATTTTATTTATTTAATATATGAAAAACGTTAAAACAATGATTAAAAAATCTTTAATAATTCATTTTACACGATCACTTAAATCTATATAAAATGAATAAAATTCGTATCGTTTGTTCTCTTTGTAATACGGACAAAGTATTTCCATTCTCGTTTCGGTTCCCTTTGCAAGTGGAGATTGCGAAGTGACCTACCCAATCTCAGTACTATAGCTCGAATGCCTATGCGTTTTCGTATAGAGTGTATGCAGCCATGTGTACCGTGTCGATGTTTCCCGACAACGCTACATTGTACGCCGTGCACACTGGAGTATGAATGTGTAAGTATGTACATACGTATGTACGTACCTATGTATAGATATGTATCTATATATGTACGGATATATATATATATATATATATATATATATATATGTGTATATATATGTAGTATTGGCGCGGGAGGCAAGTAGGCTTGGTATGCGCGACGTTTCACACGAGCCATGTTGATTGTCGTGTAAGCATACAATGCAGCAAGCGCAGTATGGCAACGGTTAGGCGTGCCGACGTAAGACGTCCATACTATAGTACTATTCCATAGTAGTTCATTCTTGAATACCGATAACTATCAAACAGGTCGCAAGAGATATACGTTTTCGTGGTATAAATGCCGTAATATTTGATATCAACAATAATGTATGTCGATACAAAAGCCTTCGTCGATTTCTTCTATAGAATTCTACGAAGACTAAATTTCTGAAAGTTTTTAAACTGAGCTCTCTCTCTCTCTCTCTCTCTCTCTCTCTCTTTCTCTCTCTCTGTCTTTCTCTCTGTCTCTGTCTTTTTTG